CCTGTCGTCTCCCCTAACGCGTAGTTTCACGGCCCTGTTTCTGGCAGTTTGGGGTCTCCAGGTGTGGGAGCTAAGGGTCCCCCTGCCCATGTTCCAGCTCACCGTGCGGAGATACTAGGCTGCAGATCTGTGGAGCCCCTCCAGAATTACGAGGGAAATAGAAACCACCCCACTGGGAAATTAATGGCGGAAGACCCAGCGCGCCTTTGGTTTGTGATCCGCGGGTTTTGTCTTCCTTTATCACGTTGATAAATAACGCAGCTGCCAGCAGCGGCTGAGAACAGGGTCTCCCTGAGCCCCTGGGCCCGTCCCGTAGGTGTGCAGCGGGGTTCCTGGGGTTCCTGCCCGTTCCGTTTCACAGGCGAGGTTCAGGCTGGAACCGGCCCACAGGGAGCAGCTCTGCGGGGGCGGCCTGGTCTCCCCTGGGTCCTCTGGGCTCCGCAGGCTTTCCCGTAGCACCAACCGGGACAGGAAACCCCAGTGGTTACTGAGCACATGCTGAGTGCGCGGCCTGCGGTAAACCGCGGCCCAGGCACTCCGGGGTCTCCCTTCTCCCAGGACACACGATCCTAGCAATGCTGGCGGGCGCGGGGTCTCTTCAGGGGGTAACGACCACGTCCTGCAATTAGCCCAGCATTCGTACAACCTCGCAGATATCCTAAAAGCCGCTGAATTGGACACTCCCAAAGGGTGGCTTTTATGATCGGTGGATCACATCTCAATTTAAAGGAAATGAAGAGAAAAAGGAAGCACGTGGACAAGATGGGGGTCCCAGGTTGTAAGAACTGTGGCCCAGGATAAATGTAGGTGAGAGTCCTTCCCATGCAGGCACCCCAGTGGCCGCAGTCACGAATGGTGTCTGTTTCCAGCGTGGTTTACGGCCCCCTCGGCACGTGGCCCTTCCCACCAGCGTTTCCTTTGTTGGTGTCTGTGACTGTGCTTCCCGGCAGTGCCTCCGGCGGGTCCGTGTGGGGTCGGCAGGCCCCGGGGTACCAGGGTCCCACCTCTTCATCCCACGGCTGGTCCTTCAGGATGGCCTGTGGGTCCCCCTGATGGGGAAAGTGAAAGCCCAGCATTTTTGCCTGGGTGAAGGTCACGGGGATGGGCAGGCGCCAGCTGGTGCCACTCACAGCCTGTCTCGTGGGCCGCAGACGAGCTGGTCTGGTTGTCTGCGGGGGTCGCCTCAGTGCTCAAGTTCAGGTCCCAGGGCTGGAGGACAGCCAGTGGCTGGTGTTGAAGGGCTAGGGATGGGGAGATTTGCGGTTGGCACGTGTGAAGGCAGAGGTGAGAAACCATCTTTAAAGGGAGTCGTGACCCCATGTCCACAGCAGCACGATTCATAGCAGCAGCAACCAGGAGGTGGAAACACCCAAGTGCCCATCAGCAGCAAAGGGGTACACGCAGTGTGTCCGTCCACGCACGGGCACATGATTGGCCATGAACAGCAGCGAGGCGCCCACCCCCGCCGCCCTGCGGACGGATCCTGAACACACGACGCTCAGGGAGGGAACCAGACACGAGAGGCCACACGGGGTGTGAGTCCACGTGTGTGAAACGCCCAGAACAGGCTCATCCAGGGACAGGGAGGGGGCTCGTGGGGGCCGGGGGTGCTGGGGAGGGGTGATGGCTGATGGGGATGGGGCTTCCTTCAGGGGTGATGCAAAAGTCCTAAAATTGTTTGTGGCGATGGTTGCACAAGTGTGAAAATAGTAAAAAGCCCCGAACTGTGTGTTGTGTGTGAATTAACTGTGTGGCCTGAGGACCGTGTCTCGGTAAGAAGGCCTTAGAAAACAATGCCTAGTGATGGGTCAGTTTCCTGGTTTGGACAACGGCCCCTGGTTGTGCAGGGAGCCAGCACAGTTGGCGCTGGGTGCGAGGTGCCCAGGACCCCTGTGCACGGTTTTTGCACCTTCTCGTGAGTCTTTAATTGAGTCAGAAATAAAAACTTGAATGATCGTATGTGCGGACGTCCCCTACAAGGCTGAAGTGAGTGAAGGGCGTTCTCCAGGGCGGGTAGGGGGCGCATATTGGACGGGCCCTTGTTTCTCACCACCCGCCGCCCCCAGCAGCGAGGCGCCCTCTGGCCTCTGCGGGGCGCTCCAGCAGCTCCCCAGCCGCGTCTGGGGCGTTACTGAGGCAGCGGCGCCACCTGCAGGTGATGGTGGGCACTTCGCTTCTCCATCCTGGCCCCAGGTTGACAACACAATGGCCCTGAACTCTGAGAAAAGGGAGCCGGCATCTTTTGAGTTTTTGGGTTTTTTAAAAATAAGTTTTCAATTTTAAAATAATTTTAGATTTTCAGGAGAATTTCAAACAGAGTTCCTGTCTGGGGCACCTGAGTGGCTGTCAGTCAGTTGAATGTGTTCTTGATTTCAGTTCAGATCATGATCCCAGGACGGTGGGATCAAGCTGTGGGGAGCATAGAGCCTGCTAGGGATTCTCTCTCTCTCTCTGTCTCTGTTCCTCTTTCCCACTCTCTCTCTCTCTAAAATAAAAATGAAGAAAAATTTGATTAAAAGATAGGCTTCCTGTCTGCCCTTCACTCAGCCTCCCCTGTGGCCGTACCTCCCAGAACCACAGTGCATTTGTGACGACCGTGCACGTCCATGAACCCAGCCCCACTCTTTTTTTTTTTTTTTTTTTAACATTGCCACTTTTGGAGACAGAGAGAGACAAATGAAGCAGGGGGAGGGCAGAGAGAACTGAATGGAAGCAGGCTCCAGTCTCAAACCATCAGCCCAGAGCCCGATCTTGAGGCTTGAACTCCACGGACAGCAGTCGTGACCTGGCTGAAGTGGACATGCCTTGACTAGGCCACCCAGGTGCCCCTCAGCCCCACTCTTTGTTCGGATTTCACCAGTTTGCCCCTGTGGTCCTTGTCCTGCCCCGGGACCCCATCCTGGATCCCACCTTGCATTTGGTCCTCACATCTCGGCAGGCAGACCCCGGTGACCTGGTGGGTGCCCTGGGGCAGGGGGTTGACTCAGTTTCCACCTTTTCCTCACAGGGGACTCTGAGAGTCAAGTCATGTAGGAGAACATCCTGATAAGGCATGAAAGGTCACGTGAGCATCCAATCCTTTCCTGTTTAGTTTGGGAGCATTTGGAGAATTTAGTAGGGACGACCTTGCAAATTTCTAACAGACCTTTCTGGTAAAGTACGTCAAGTTCCACTTCTGCACCGGGAGGTCCTGAGTCTGGCGGAGCAGCCGAAGGCAGGCCTTCATGACGGTCTGACCGTGAGCTCCAGACCCTTCCTCACTGCCGCTGCCGAACACGTGTTTCTGGCCAAATGGTGCTCCACTGAACTGTTCCGTTTTTCTTCCAGGGAGCGGACATCGGGTTCCTGAGCCTCGGCGCTGAGGACAGCTAAGCCTCGTGCACAGGTCAGTGCCGTGACGTGTCTCCTACTCGACCGTCAGAGTTCAAGGGGACGTTGAATGGCTGGCCATTCTGGGCCGGGCTGAGGCGGGGGGGGTGGTGGCTTGCTGTGGAGGCGGGCGCCTCACCCAAAAGGCTTCAGCGGGGCGTGCAGGGCAGCCACTGGCAGGACCAGAGCTGAGTCACTGGATGTGACAGACGTTATCTCAAAGCTGGCGCCCGTCCTGGCGGCTGGGAGGCACTACGTGGCCTCAGGGGCACTCTTTTTACCAAGGTAGCCGTAGAGACAAACAAGGCTGAGATCCTGCTCTCTTGACTTCGGCCGTCTGTCCATCTGGTCTCATTTCCAGAGGGTGTTGGGTGGCTTCTGTCGTGTGGGAGGAGGGACGGCGTGAAGGTGAGCTGGGCGAGGCGGCTCGGCCTGCGGTAGCCCCACGTCTCTCCCCTTGCACCTGCCCGCGGAGGTCTCCGCCACCCTCCAGCGGTTTTCTCTGTCGTGTGATCTGTGATCTTCACTTAGAGTCAACCTCTGGCTTCCAACCGAAATGCCGAGGGAATTTTGATTCGGGTTGTGTTTGATTTATCGGTAAATTTGAGGGAGATCGGATGTCTCTGTGATGTTGGATATTCCCAAGCTGTGTGTCTGCGCCTGAGTCCAAAAGAAAAAACGTCAGAAGGAGGCAGCCCCAGAAGACGCACGTGCTGTGGGTCCGTCTCGGGGAGGTTTCTAGCAAAGGCTGGTCTGCAGGGGCAGGGAAAGGATTAGCAGTACCGGCACGCCAGGGCTGGGGGAGGCGAGGGACTCTGTGGATGTGTGCCAGGAAGACTGCGTGGGGGGTGATTTCACGCCCTGGCACCCTCGCTGCCGACTCCTCCAACCATGTTTCCACCCGGTGAGCTTTCTGGCCTGTGAGGTGCCCCTCAGTAAGCTCGCCCAGTGGTCGCTCAGGAGAGAGGCTGTCCCTGAGGACAGAGACCAAGAGCAGAAACAGGAGCCCTGGGGTGGGCGTGACGTGTGGGCGCCCGGTGGGACCCACACAGATTTCCGACTGGCTCACAGGGCGGCCGACCCGCTGAGCAGAACCTGCTGTTAAAAAGTGTAGAAGCCTGGGTGGCTCAGCCGGTTAAGCGTTCGACTTCAGCTCAGGATCACGATCTCACCATGATCGTGAGTTGACCCTGCGTCGAGACTCTGGGCTGATGGCTCGAAACCTGAGCCTGCTTCCCCATTCTGTGTCTCCCTCTCTCTCTGCCCGCCCCATTCATGCTCTGTCTCTCTCTGTCTCAAAAATAAATAAATGTTAAAAAAAAAAAAAAAAAGTGTAAGCGCGCAGGGCATGAAGTTTCCTAAAGGCCAACTGGCGCCCGGCCATGCTGACGTCTTGGGGCGCGTTCTGCCCGGATCTCCGGGAGTTACATCCACACGCGTGATTTTAGAGCCAAAGGATTTACTCTGTAACGTGCTGGTTCTGCTTGAGGGGCGTCTTTCCTCGACAGGAAACCTGTGTTTCCGTCATCTTTCCGGACGCTGGCTTAGCATCCCACATTCTAGGCGAATTGTAACACGTTTCTTTTTTTTCTTTGAAAGCTTATTTATTTATTTCAGAGATACAGAGACAGTGGGAGTGGGGAGGGGCAGAGAGAGGGGGAGACAGAGAATCCCGAGCAGATTCCACACTGTCAGCGCAGAGCCCGACGCGGGGCTCAAACCCACGAACCGTGAGACCATGACCTGAGAAGAAGCCAAGAGTCGGACGCTTAGCTGACTGAGCCACCCAGGCGCCCCTGTGCCACATTTCTTTTAAAATAATTTTATAACTGATTTAATTAGTCTCTGGGTGGGTTGGGGGGGTGTTTTCCTGTTTTTCTCTTCTCTTTCTCTCTTTCTTTCTTTCATATTCCGGGATGACTGTCTCTGTGCAAACTTAATACACCCTTGGCTGGTTGTCGTTTGGGGTACATGCTCACGTGTGTGCTTGCCGTGCGTGTGAGAGAGAGACAGAGAGTCCGGGTGTCCTCGTCGCCTGTCCGACAGCCTCAGTGCCCTCCAGGAACGCACCGTCCCCGGGGAGCAGCCAGGCCGCCTCAGGGCTGCCGAGTCCAGGTCATTCGGGCTTCAGTTTCTCCCCTGAGCTGTGTGTTCTGTGCGCGGCCTGGCTGTGCTCTTTACTGACCTTCCCAGCGGGGCCTCTGTCTCATCGACGTGTTTGAACTCTTCTGACATGTGTGTCGGAACTTCCTGTCTTTCTCCGTTTGGATGCCGTCTGGTGTCCGTCACGTAGGCCGCGAATGTTTTTCAGAGCGCGCTGTTCCCTCTACTCACCGTGGGCGTTCTCGTAGGGAATGTGTTGTCTTTGGCGTGCCCCCAAATTTCAAGATGACAAAGAGCAATTAACCTGCACTTTGTGCGGATTGCATCTTTTATGCTTAAATCTTTGAAGCAGACAGACTGGTGAGCCTGCCCCCTGCCCCAGGGGGACTCGGGGCAGCGTGCAGAGGGGCGTGGAGTGGTGTGGTGAGCAGGTGCTCCGTGGGCAGGTCCCGCGGGGAGCTCTCTGTCACAACGGTGAGCCTGCCCCCTGCCCCCTCCAGGGGGCTGCCGGGCTTTCCCTGGTTACGTGCTAATTTGGTACTCACTCGTTGAACACAGTCTGCTCACCTGCAGGTGCACAGACACGCGAGACCCTGGCCAGGGTTTACCACCTGAGCAGCCGGGGTGTCGCCGAGCAGGGGCCCCGCCACCTGTCTTGACGGCAGAACCAGCCCTCCAACAGATGTCAGAGCTCAAGGACGACCGGGAGTTTGGGGTGTTTGCTCTGGCGGCTTGGGGCTCAGGGGTCCCCCCTCTGCCTGCCCCACAGGATGCTGCAGTTCCCGCTGGCGACCACAAGGGGGCAGAGAAGGTCCACGGGGTCTGCCCCCCTTGGGCCTCCAGCCTTTGTGGGCGCAGGTGTGGTATTTCCAGCTCTCCCCCACCCTTGTTGGAGCTCTGTGACTACCCTGTCCCTGTTCTCCAGGACATGCCAGCACCGAGAGTTCCAGGGTCACTCTGTCCCCCTGCCCCCATTCCCCTTACAGATCCAGAGCCTCCATGGACCCAGGCCCCAGCTGGCCCCTTTCACCGGGTTAAGGAGGGAGAAGGAAGCACTGGCCTGTGACCTTGGGGGCTCAGGGTACCGGCACACCTGCACCCCGAAACCCACTCGACCCGGGCATGGCCCAGTGGCCAGAGCAGAGGCCATAGCACAGAAGCAAAGGCACAGGATTGGGGGTGGGCAGCCTGGCTGCCGCAACCCCCACCTCGGGGACCGAGTCTGGCTTCTGGAATGTTCTCCCCTCCATGATGTGGAGCAGTGGCTGGTGCCTCTGGCCCGGTACAGTCCCTTCCTTTGGGACTCACCTAAAGGGCACAAACCCTCAGAAGCTGCCTCGGGCCTCCCAGGTGTGGAATCTGGCCTGTGTCACACCTTCTAGTGCGGTCTCTGGGGTGGTTACGTCCGGGGCACAGGGTAGCCCTTCCCTTAGCAGGGATTTCCGAGTGTGTGCCTGGGCCTGGCCACGGAGAAACGGCAGTGACCACATGGGGAAAACCCTTGGTTCCACAGAGCTGACCTGCTAGCAAGAACTGGAGATCCGTTGTGGGCTCCCCCCGCCCCAGCACCGCTAAGGTCAGGCGGGTCACTCTCTGGGGGCGTCCGGGGCTCTGTGAGGGCTGAGCAGCATCTCTGGCCCCACCCCCTCGATGCCAGGAGCCCCCCCCCGTGTAATGACCACAGATGTCCCTAGACGTGGCCCAGGATCTCCTGGGGGCAGAACGAGGACGCTATCTTAATGATCTCTCTCACACTGTCTTTATCGGGTTCCCAGCCGCTGGCCCTCCCACAGCCTCGGAGCTCTGGGGGCTGAGACCGCAGCCGAGGCCTCCTGGAGAGGCACCCAGCGTTCCTTCAGTTCCTTCAGGCTGCCGCTGCCAGGGACCTCGGCTCAGGCCCCCTGTGCCCTGAGGGCTCTGGACTTTCACCCTGGGCGTCACCTGGGCTCACCAGGCCACTGTGGCGCTAGCTTTCCTTTGGATGTGACATTGTCTTTGAGCTGCAGTTTCCAGCATGGTAGGTAGGCATGAACCACCGGCACGAATACCGGCAGCCGCTGAGCACCTGAAATGGGCCGCAGTGAAAATGATATTTTGCATGTGTTAGGTTAAATCTCTGATTCTTCATTGGGGGCCGTCTTGTCCCCAGGGGACACTGGGCTGTGTCCGGGGCCATCTGTGGTTGTCATACTAGGGGTGTAGCATCGAGGGACTAGGGGCCAGGGTCTCTGCTCAGCCCCGACAGAGTGGCCGGCCGTGATGCCCATGGTGCGGAGGGAGGGGGAGAGCGCCCGGACAAGGACCGGCGTTCTCCAGCCTTCTTGCGCGCTGCGTAGAGCACAGAAGCACTCCGTGACCTTCAAACGACTGCGTGTGTTTTCCTGACTGCCGCTTGTTCTCGCGGGAGGGGGTGAACATTCCTGCCGAGAGCACCGTCGGAGCCTTTTATCTCTGGAGTGGTCCTCGAGCGGATCAGACCGCAGCCCCAGCCCTCCAGTCAGAGCCCGCTGCCCCCGCCACCCCCGGCTGGTTCCCCGCCTCAAGTCCTTCCCAGGCTTGTGGAAATGCACGTTATTATCAGTTCTTTCTGCGGACGAGCTGTCCTCCTGCACAAACTGCCAAGACCCACAGTCGAAATCTTAAAGCGTTCTGCTCACGAAAAGGTCACGGGCTGCCGCTGCTTTTCCAGCAGAAACGTACACGGCGCACGCATAGTCAGGCGGTGCCATGTGAAGCGGGCCCAGGGGGCCCTGCCGCAGCCCGCGGTGCCGGAGACCCTCATCCTGTAGCCCGCAGCTCCGATCCGGCAGACAGGACGTGGGCCCTTCCCAAGGCAGCAGCGGTGGCTCCGACGTGAGCTTGACCCTCTAACCCAGGCTCTCCCCGGGGCTCTCCCAGGGGCCCACGTCCTGG